CCCCACTCATCCATCCAGTGTCTGCCCCCCGCCCGCCCCCATGTCACCTTCTCTGGGAGTCCCTGCATAGGAAGGTGTCCGACTCCACGCTCTCCCCCACCAGTACTCCCTGTCACCTGGCCGGTCTGACCCCTGCATGCGGGCTCCCTGCTCCCTGCCTCTCCGCCCGCCCGGGCAAGGTCAGCCTGCAGGAGGTCAGAGCTCAGTGGTGGTGGTGAAGCAATGAGCCAAGTGCAGTAAGAGCAGGTCTGGAGGGAGCCTGCAGCCCAGGCATGTGCCCTGACCGGGAATCGAACTGTGACCTCCTGGTTCCTAGGTCGACGCTCAACCACTGAGCCGCGCCAGCCGGGCCCAAGAGTCACCATTACTGGGGAGCCGGCACTGGACGTGTCAAAGGTGCTGATTGAAAGGGGACTTCAGCAGAAGGTGAGTAAAGGGGTGGGGGGCCTGTATCGGATGAGTGGAGGGTAGGAGGGCAGGGAGGCCCTGGCAAGGATGGAGGAAGCAGACCCTGGGAGCCTCAATGCCCCGGAGACTGGCCGGATGGGGTGGGAGACATGCAGGCCCGGCACCAGGGCCCAACGCGTGGTCAGGGAAAGAATGAGTGGATATTCCTACAAAGAGCAGGTGAGAAGGCACCGCAGCCCAGGGACCCAGCCAACGCGGCCTTCGGGGAATGGAGCGAGGGCAGCAGAGATGCGGAAACAGAGGTGACTGAATCCTCCTGAGGGTCCCCGGCCCTGCTGCCTGGCCAGGCCACCCGGGGCCCTGTCAGAACCCCCTCGGCTGGCTTGGGGTTCCTCCAGGGCAGTAGCTCAGGACCTTGGCTTGCAGGTGACCTCCCTGACATGGGGGCTGGTCTGGCAGATGCTGGGGGACTGCCCATCCTGTGTCTTCCCTCTGGTCATCCAGAAAGAAGTGGACATGTGCCAGGCCAGCTCTAACCTCTCCCCATGCTGCCCCGGCCGCTGCTGGTATCTGGGCTGGGCACTGCCACCTGCAGGACTGCAGACCGGATGCTGCCACCTGGAGCTGCAGCTGCGGGTTTCCTGAGATGCAGGCTGTGGCCTGTTCGCTCCATTAGACACAACACACAAGAATGTGCAGTAGCTGGAAGGGCATCTCAAAGGCCAAGACCTTTGGAGCATTATTTATTGAGCTGAGGGGTTTGACAGGGAAGGCCCAGGGCAGGAGGGCGAGTCACGCAGGAGGAGGGGCTGCCAGAATCCCCAGACCCTGTGGGTCAGCCAGGCCAGTCAGGTGAGGGAAGTCAGTGTTTGCAGTCGCATCAAAGATGGCACCATGGCGTTCACTCACTCGTGAGGGTTTGCAGAGCCCTCTGCTGCGGGCCTCTGGCCTCTGACCTGGCCCTGGGGAGGCGTCAGGAGCGAGGCAGACACGGTCCCCACCACACCAGCACTTGTTCCACGGGGAGCGAAATATGAGTGGCACATCATAAGGAGGTGATGCCTGTCGTGTGTTCAAGGTGACAGGTGCTGTAGAAAAGAGAACTGCAGATAGGGGATCAGAGTGTGAGGGACCCATTAGGTCAGGATGGGCCTCGTCCAGGGGGTAACAGCTGAGCAGAAGGGAGCCAAGTAGGCACCTAGAGGGAGAGCATCCCAGCAGAGGTACTGCTGGGCGAAGGCGGGAGGATGGCCATTGAAGGAGCATCGAGGGAGGCAGGCTGGGTGAGCAGAGAGGGAGGGGGAGTGGGAGGTGGGTCAGCTATGCAGGTGGGACATAAATGAGGACAGAGAGGAGGACCCCAGGGAGCTCGGGGGAAACTCCAGGTGTGCTGGAGGGTTCCAGGTGTTCCCGAGTCACCATTCACTGGGGACCCGGCACTGGTGCTGGTTGAAAGGGGACTTCAGCAGAAGGTGAGCGAGGATGGGCCTGTAGAAGGAGGCGGGGCAGGCAGGTGCCCAGCTGAGTCTTGGAGGGCAGAGCCTTGCCAGAAAGAGGAGCAAGTGCTGCCTGGTCCAGAGGCCGAGTTCTGATGGCTCCTGGGATGCACGGTGATCAGCCAGGCACCACAGGGCTCAGCCTAAAATTGGGGGCCGGTGCTTTTCATAATGACAAAGCGGGAGGACCAACTCTTCCCTGTCACTGACTGTGTCCTGGGGACTTCCTAGCAATTCCTGCCTCAGTGAGTCCTTGTGAAAACACTTAGGGGGCGTCTGGGGAGGTGGTTGACTCTCCCTTTGTAGAGGGTAAGGTCTGGTCTGGCCAAGCCATACGCCTGGGCAGCGAGCACAGCCTGCTGCCCCTCGGCCACCGAAGGACCCTGCGGGGTGACATGGGGCGGCTGGCGTGGAGCTGCTTACACACCGTAAGGGTTGAACATAGCCTGCTCGGCCATTCATTTACTCGCTCCTCACCCAGTGCCATCAGGGCGCCCTCAGGTTCCAGGTCCAATGCCAGGGGCCCGGGGTCCAACTATAAACCCCCTCGGGGAAGACGATTAAAATCTGCTCCCGGTTTCACTGCTCATTCTCCTGATTCCTGGTGAAAAGAACCGAAAGGATGGGGCGGCTGGGTACAGGTGCGTGTCCTGCTGGGGACACATCTGGATGGAGCCGGGTCCACCCGGTGCCTGGACCGCTGGGGGAGGAGGAGGCCTAGCCCGTTAGTCTCAGGAAACGCCTCGTTGAGCTCACCCATTGTCTCCGCTTTCGATGACTTGGAACAGCGTTATTTGATTTTTTTTTTTTTGAACCGCTAAAATGCTTGTATTATTTGGGCCCAACCCAGGTGTTCCGGTAAAAGCCTCTAAAAATAAGCCAAATCACTGGCTCCCACGAACCCGCCTCTCAGCGCCATGACTCAGCCAGGACCAGGCGCTTTATCATATAAGGATGTGGAAGGCCAGCCCGCAGCTCCGCTCCCCACATCTGTCCCAAGTGCCCCCAAAGCCAAGAGGTCGGTTACGTCATGTGAATCTCAGGAGAACATTATGGGAGACAGGAGAGAGTCTGGACCCCGGGATGAGGCGGGCTGAGGGCAGGGGGCCTCTGCAGCCTCTGCCCTTTGCAGGCCGGTGGCAGGGCAGACGGGGGTTCCGTGGCACCGTGCTGCTGGACAGAGCCTTATAAGGAGCTCCCTGCGCCTCTGCACCAGCTCCCAGAATAGCCTCCCGGCTTGGCCTGAGCAGGGCACCAGGGCGCCAGGGCACCAGGGCAGCCAGGCCAGAGGCTGGCCAGGCCCCCTGGGACCGGCTTCCTTCCTCCCGGCACCTTCAGGAAAGGGAGGCCATTGGCCTCTCCCAGGTGCAGCCCGAGGCTATTGTCTTTTCATGGCTTCATAGCTTATTTGTTTGTTTGTTTTTTAAAAAATAAATTTTTGCCGAAACCGGTTTGGCTCAGTGGATAGAGCATCGGCCTGTGGACTGAAGGGTCCCAGGTTCGATTCCGGTCAAGGGCATGTACCTGGGTTGCGGGCACATCCCCAGTGGGAGATGTGCAGGAGGCAGCTGATCGATGTTTCTCTCCCATCGATGTTTCTAACTATCTATCTCTCTCCCTTCCTCTCTGTAAAAAATCAATAAAATATATTTTTAAAAAAATAAATAAATAAATTTTTATTGATTTCAGAGAGGAAGGGAGAGGAAGAGAGAGCTAGAAACATCTACGATGAGAGTCATTGATCAGCTGCCTCCTGCACACCCCCTACTGGGGATTGGGCCTGCTTCCTGGGCATGCGCCTCATCTGGATGGAATCATGACCTCCTTCATGGTCAATGCTCAACCACTGAGTCACGGCGGCCAGGCATCGCTCATTTCTTTTTATCAGTAAATAATATTTCATTGTCTAGATCAGTGGTTCTCAACCTTGGCTGCACATTAGAATCACCTGGGAATCTTTTTAAGATCCTGATTTCTGGGCCTCATCCTCCGGAAATTCTGTTTCTTTGTTATGGGGTGGGGCCACAACGTTAGTAACAAAGAAACAATTTCCGGAGGATGAGACCCAGAAATCAGGATTTTAAAAAGATTCCCAGGTGATTCTAATGTGCAGCCAAGGTTGAGAACCACTGGTCTAGACAGACCAGTTTATTTACTCCCTCACCTACTGAAGGACATCGTGGTTGCTTCCAAGTTGGGCAGTTGTGAATAAAGCTGCTGGGTCCATCCATGTGCAGGCTCTTGAGTGGACATGCATTTTCAACTCCTTTGGGTAAATACCAAGGAGTGTGTGTGATTGCTGGATAAGACAGATGGGGCAAATGTGGGTTTACAGTTGTTCGTATGGAAAACAATACAATAATTACTACCCAATAGTACAAGGATAAACTCCATGTTTTGCGTCCTCACCACTGTAAGCCTGCTTTTGCCGCCCTGTATGGTAAGAGTATTTTCATTTTGTAAGAAGCCACTGAACTGTGTCACACGGGGGCTGCACCGTGAGCATGCCACCGGCAGCGCGAGCTCCTGTTGCTCCCGTCCTCACCAGCAAGCTGTGGTGTCCGTGTTCTGGATTGTGGCCATTCTGATAGGTGTGCGGTGGCTTCTCATTGTTGTTTTTATTTGCATTTCTCTGGAGCATTTTTTTAATGTGCTTATTTGTCATCAGTATATCTTCTTTAGTGAGGTGTCTGATAAGGTCCTCGGTCCATGTTTTAAATTGTCCATTTTCTCATTGTTGAGTTTTAAGCGTTCTCGTATATTTTGGACAACGGTCCTTTATCAGACACATGTCTTGCCCATCTTCTCTCCCGGTTGGCGGCTTGTCTTCTCATTCTCTTGACAGCACCTTTTGCTGAGAAGAAGTTTTAAATGTCGGTGAAATTGAACGAAGCCCCGTTTATCAGTTCCGTCAGGGAGCATCTCCATATCCAAGACCACGTAGGTTTCCTCCCGTGTTATCTTCCTGAAGTTCCATCGTTTTACCTTTTACGCTTCCGTCTGTGATCCGTTTCGAGTTCATTTCTGTGACCGTTGTGAGGTCTGTGTCTACATTTTTTTGTCCCACCGTGTGTGGAAGAGGCCGTCTTTGCTCCATCGAGTAGCCTTTGCTCCTTGGTCAGAGGTCAGCCACTGCCAGTGTCGGCCTGTTCCTGGCTCTCTGTTCTGTTCCGCTGGCCTCCTTGTCTGTTCTGCCGCCAGCACCACGGGGCCTGGATCGCTGTGGCTTTAGGGTAAGTCGGCATCAGGCAGTGCCAGCCTCCAACGTCGTTCTCCGTCAGCACCATGGCGGTCCCTCGGTTATCTTCCAGAACTGCCCTGGCTCTTCTTCTACACAGACTGCTTCCTAGCGTCCGGTTCCATCAGAAATCTGTGGGGATTTGGCTAAGGCTGCTTCTGACATGTGTGTCAATGTGGGGGGAACAGACATCTTCACATTTGTGTGATAGGATGTGTATCTGAGACCCTGCTGTCCTGACCTCCCCTCCAATGAAGGAAACAGCACACGGAGGGGTCATGCAGAGCCGTCTTTGGGGGAGGACGCGGGGCTCTTGCTCTGAGCTCACAGGGCCATTCCACATTCTCCCCCCCTTTGGCTGTTCTGCCTCTGTCTCTGAGCTGACCCGTGTTTCTATGGGCGACAGAGCAGCTGATCGACATCTATTTATTTTGGCCGAAAGGGTTTTTCGGGAAATGAGAAGTGGATGATGTTGTTTAGTCTTCCGTCTCCCTGCTGGCTCTGGGAAAGGCCGGGGTGCCCGGCCACGAATCGGGAGTCTGGGGGCTGCTGGGAAGGGCGCTCCCGGCGTGTGGGGACCACCATCTGGACTCAGGGCTGGTCTTTCTCCTCCAGTCCCTTCGCCAGCCCCTCTCCCCCCACCCCCGCCGGCCGGCAGCACCCAGGGAGTCCTGTGCCCTTCTCTCTCAGCCTGGGATGCCCTCGCCACTCCCTCCCATCTGTGGGCACCCTGACGGTGCTGCACCTGCAGGCGTGTGGAGGTGTGTGTGAGTGCCAGCACGTGTGCAGGGGTGGCTGTGTGTGAGCACGTGTGCTTGTATGTGTGCATATGCACAGGTGCATGTGTGTTCCTGGAGTAACTCCATCACCCAGGCCAGTGCTGGGCGTGGGAGGCCAGTCCCATCTCTAAGGAGGGGCAGCCCCTCCAGTCCGCGCCCAGGGCCGACGTCACTAGTGGCCGGGACATGATGGAGGGCAGGCGGCCCTACGGATGGGAAGTGGCTGGTTTCCCTGGAGCAGCTGTTTGGCCTCAGCCAGGTCGTTGCCCCACATCGGGACCCATTTCCTCCCAGCGTCAGGGCAAGCAGGTGTGGGTGTGGTGCGGCCCGGGCAGGGACGCAGTGAGCCCGGGGTCTGCAGCCCGGGTTTACAGTCAGCTGGGGCTCCCTGGCCCGGCCGCAGGGTCTGTGAGGAGGCAGACGTCACAGGTCGGTCCTGGCGCCCGGCACCAGGCTCCCAATCCCCGGCCCTCCTCCAGCGCCGGCCCCACCACAGCGGAGCGGTGGCTATGGCTGCGGCTGCTCACGTGTGGCGATTTTAATTTTCTGATCAGTGCACAGAGGATTAAATGTCC